GAGGATGTTCCTGAAACAAACGGGGTTTTTTTCTCAAAAACGTAAAATTAAAATAAATATTGAGCGTTCAACGCCCGTGAAAATAAATGTAAGAAAAATGATTACATTACTGACTGTTGAAAAAACACATGGAAAGACAGATGTTCGCATTAATTCCACCTACCTAACTGCATGATTATTTGTTGAAGAATGTATTTGAAACGCCCGTTTTGGAAGGACTGGATAGTGAGGACAGTAAAATATTTCAAGACTTGCGTTCCGCGGTATATCTTTTTACTTATTAAAACGACTTTATACATATTTAATTATGTACAGATTACAAAAATACGATTTAAAATGTTATACGAAACACACAGACATAAATAAATCTATACATGTACTTAACATTGACTGAGAAAAAGTAACATTCAGTCCAAAGGAATGGGTCGCAAACACCTGAATTTTAACACATATTCAGCAATGTGAGAGGGCTTCTGTGAGTCGAGTGAAAGGTACGTGGGTTGAAGATTCTAAGTGTGCGCAAAGTAATGAATGCTCCGTTAAGAACATTTTGAAACATATTTTAACATTACAAAGGTGTAATTAGTGTAAAATCGGTATTCGAATATTTTAAGATATTCCTGACACAAATTCTAGTACTCTGTAAGATTGAAAATAGAGCTTTCATCACTTGCAAAAGAAAAAAAAGAGAAATATTTGCATCAGGGATGTATGATCAGTTCTTTTTCAGTGCCATTTGAATTGGAAGTTTCATAAACGCGTACGTGAATAAGTGTACAAAAGCCTACCATCATAAATTCGATTCGGAATATTTGTGTTGTTTCTTTGTGCTTTCTCGAATACGTTGATTTTACAAATAGTTTCGTGTTTCATATTATCCTGACCATGTTCGCACTAACGAACTCCGGTTTGTGTGACCGAACTTTTTTTCGGTGAGCTTGTTGAAAATTATTGATTTATGAGTTTGTATCGTAAGATTGACAGTAGGATATTGGTGCACCAACTCCCTGGTCGCTTTCCGTAACCTTTCTGCATAGTATTTCACCAAACACAATTCAATGTAAGTTAAATGACGTTTTTCAGAGAGATTGGTGATAGCGTTATCGCGAGAGTGGTGTGGGTGCAACATAAGTAGAAGGAGATTAGAGTGCGGTAGACTCATTAAATCATCCATCACCTCTGCGCGTGCTAATTTGAATGAACGGAGTCTCTTAACCTTTCAGAGCATCCCTACGCCCGTATGAATTTTACCCTGCTCTCTCACCTCCTGCTTTCGCCTGTTTTAGTTGAGGTTTCCTTCTCTTCCGCTCTCTCTGCGCTCTCTCCGTTTCTTTCTCCTGCCTAATTTAATTGTCTCCGTGGGTGCATGCGCTTTCAAAGTCGTTATCAATTACGGCTTTCCTTTGAGACTGTTTTATCACGTAAAGCCGCTACCTTTTTAATGAGACTCAAACTGCGTAATTTTTATAATAAAGTCACACCAGCCACCAAGTATGCTGTCAATAAAATAGGGTAAGGACATTTTGAAAGTAGGAACAAAAGTAGGTGTAAAAATTTGCTTTGTTTTATTGACTAGCTACTCCTCCTGTTGGATCAACAAGATATCTGCAGTCAATTTAAGACCGAGGAGTTCCATACTGAGATGAAATGTTTGTCCCAAAGGAACGGGTTTGAGTTTAAGACGGTGAAGATGAACGATGTATCGAGATTCCGAAATAAACGGGTTTTATAATATTTTTTTGCTTCATAAAGTTAATTTTTGTGGAACCCAGTGTGAGTGGGTAAATAATGATGCTATTGTTTAATTCTGAATAGGAACTTCGACCAATTTCCAAATTTTCCATGAAATCTGCAAAAGTTTAGTTAATTTGCCGTAAAATTTGTGTTTCAATTCGATTATTAAACACAAATACTTAATCCTTTGATGCATAATTTTAATAGGCCTCGACGTAGATTACAAATTTTAAGATCATGTAATCCCACCAAGGAAATATTTTCTATGATTATACAGATACATTCTCTGGATGATATTTTTCTCCTTCGAGAGAAACATAACAAAATGTTGTACATAGTTGAAATGCATAAAATTGGTCCCGCTAATAGTAGGTATTTCCTCTTTCTTCTTGCAATTCGAGCTGCTCTGAATTTTCGAATGAGGCGGAAAACCTCTCGGAAACGCACATCCAATATGTCAGTGTGTCTTGAGTATAAAGAAACTTAGTTTATTTAACAACTAAAATTTGCAACAGACATTTTTGCCTGTATCAAAATTTCCTACTTGAAGAAATGTAGACGTACTGAATCAAAGGAGGTCTATCCTATTTGCAATCGATACCGTTCGTTTCATATTAAAAAGGAAAGAAAAAAAAATCTCGACTTGCTCATTTAAACTTGGAAGTTTTTATCTACCTCAAAGAGCTGGGCGCTAGAAAACTATCCTGGATGTGAATGATAGCCTTAAATCGACTTTCAACGGTCCTAGAGCCATCGGAAATTCATCTGTCAAATATCGTTAGATTGATCCCTATTCTCTGATTGATATCCTCCATTGGGGAAATTAACCTAAAAATAAAGCCACGAAGAAGGATAAGCAACTTATCTCCATACAATATTCTGGTCATCGACTGCCACTGGAAATTGCGTTGAAGCTGTCTCAATTAATGCGTTGTCGGCATCTCAATGAACTCTATGTCTTATCTCCGCAAAACAATGGATTTTTCCCAGTGAGTCATTTAAACTACGCAGAATTGGCAAAACCTGAACACATATTTTCTGATTCCGCAGAAAATACGCAAGTTGTCCTGAAGATTGGGAAAGAGGGCTCGCGTCACTTTTACGTTTTCTTCTCTGTTCCTCTATTATGGATCCGTTGCCCACCTTCAATTGCAAAAAAGGGGTATGTCCTCCCAGAAAATGACTTAAAATCACAATTGAGCGTTGAAAGTGTCTGAAATTTACTCCTAACTTTAAAATCTGCGTTAAAATTCACGAATTTTGGAGATACCCGCCTCAAAAAGAAGTTTCCAATCAAAAACAAACAAAAAGAACTCTCGTACTCATTAAAACATAAAAATGAAGTTGTCGGAAAAATATAGTTCGTTATTTCGTTTTATTTTATTTTTTTTTCAATTCTAGGACGTTTTACAATACGATCAATTTGAGTTTCGCATTAAGTCATGGAACCGGAGTCGTCTGCGATAATTATATTTTTTCCGCAGTGTGCATGTTGAAGTAAGAAGCTTCCAAATGCGCGAATAATTGTACGCATATTGTGAGGTTAGTATTAAATTTCAGGCTTTTCTGATGTAATCATCGTGGATTTTGAGCCATTCCCCTCAAAAAGCAAGTGTTTATTTTTTTCTACCAAATGTTTTGAAGATTGTTTGGTGGGTCTAATTTCTTTTTTGTAGCTTTAAGTGACTAATACTGCAGACGCCAGACTCAAGGCTTTCCTCCTAAAGTTTTTGGACTTAATTCTGAATTACTTTTGATCTTGTGAATTTATTATGCGTAAAGTTTTAAAGTGACAACGTGTAACTCAGTGCTACCGTTCATTAATTGCCCGCTACATCTCGACCGAAGAAGAGAACAATAATATCCTGCGGAATCAAACATGAGATGATAATCGGCTAAAACTATAGAAATCATTTTCTAATTGGCTCACGGTTATCGCTTAGCAGATTCATTTCAAGTTCCGGGACTTCCAATAGCGCTGAACAATCATTTTTTGCCCGGCTAGACGGATATTAATCTTCGATCCTCGACCGTAATTCGACAACGCAATAGTTTGGGTACTCACATTTAAACACATGTGAGTAATGGAACAAAAAAACCTGGTTACAAGTTACAACATTGTCGAGTTTTCAAAATATTCGAAAGGTTTCACTTTACACATAAGTATGATACGAGAGGATATCTTCAAGACTTGACAACATTCGATAGCAACCTAAAATATTACGATTCCGTTTTAGCTTATCTTCGAGGTGACGGCTCGCCGGCGTTTTTTATGGTTTTTTCTTTCTGTTGGTGCATCGCACGTGGTGCATACTATTTTAAATGTTGCAGGTGTCTGCTTAAATTTTACATTTTTTCTAGAGTAGGAACAAGAATGCACCGGCGTTCAAAGTCTAGGGCCGCGACCGCCGCCTCGTCAAAACTCAGTTGCTCTCACAAAAATCTTGACTAGTTAGATTCGCCTTCATACTACACGGTAGGCAAACTTCAAGCCTTGAACGAATCAGTGCGTTTGAAAACACACCAACTCGGGTTTTTTTCGATTTTCATTTTTTTACGGTTTACTGACACTTATGGATACAAGCATCTGCACGCCGAAGGAAATTTCGAAATTGCAATCGGAAGTGCTGGAAACAGCGACGGGAAAAGGGAAAAATCGAAGTATTTCATTGGAAATACCAATTTTTGGCCATTTCAAGGGAAACGGGTGACCATCCGATTTTGCGGTTTTCTTTTTTTGGTTCAGTATACTTTGTACCAACAAGTCATATAAATATTCAAGCGTTATTCAGGTCGAAAAATATAAATTTATCAGGGCAGACTATGAAAAATCAGTATCTGAAAGTCGGTGAGAACGAAAACACACCAACTCGGAAATTTTAAACGCTTAATTCTCTGTCATGAAACATGGTGTATAGATTTCAACTTGGTGCTTTACAAAGTCTCTAAGTACTTGTCCTTGGCACCAAAAATGTTTTTTTTTTTAAACTAACTTCTTTGCCCGTTGCGCAGTTTTAGGTGTTTCCTGAGCAATTTTTTTTTCCCGAGTTGGTGTGTTTTCGAACTCACTGATTCAAATGGTGATGGGGGCATTCTGTATCCATAAGATTCGATTGTGTAACAACATTTAAGTGCCGTTCGGTGACCTATTGGTACATGTGTGGGAACTGGAGTCGTGTTTTTGGTTGGTCAATGTACACAATATAAAATTTTTATCGAATTCAAACAATTAGATAATTTCGGCATTTAAAAAATCAACGCACTTCTCGATTGGGCTCAGAAGCCCTCTCACCTGGGTTTATGAAACGGATTGGCACTCGAAAATGACACGTGTAATAATTTATGTTAATTAACTAAGAATAGGTACATATTGACATTGACGTGTAACAAAATTAATTCAAGGTGATGCAGAGATTTACGATGAATTCCCTAAGGATTGTAGCTTCAATCAGAAACAAAATAAATGAATGACAGTATGAGAGCATTCTACCTGCTATTACTAAAACTTTTTAATACAATTTAATTAAAAGGCTTACACCGGTGTAAAAATTTGAGAGCTTTTTTCTATGGGTAAAAAATCCTGTACAATATCCTTAAGAGCCATGCCCTTTACATTTTAAGCGCGAAAATCGTTCTTAAAAAAAAATCACAAATGAACAGTGTGATTGTAACAACTCGATAGGCTCGGGATTGTAGCAACATCTTTTCGTTTTTTTCGAAGGTTATATATTACCACTGGAAACACATTTCTAACCTCTCTACCGGCAAGCTCCTAATCATAAGCAAAAAATTGTAAAATTATACCGAAATACCGAATATACTGTAAATCTCAATTACTTTTTTAACCATCTCTGACCAAAGCTATTATCCGCTTGAGAAATGTGTATAAAAGTAAAAACAGAGAGATAAAATATGTATAACAAAAATATCAACAACATTAACAATTATAGGTAAAAATTGATTCACTGGAAAATTATCTAGTCTTACAAGTTCATGGTCATCAAATAAGTCAATAGTGCCAGAGGATTCAAAACTACGGAACTTACCCCGGTCACATGTATTTGCTCTACATATATTTGTATGTACATTTTTAGTCTATCATTCAACTTAAATCGGTCAAGAACTGTGTACTAAAATACTGTGTTAAAATGTTGAGTCTTTCTTTTTTATCCTCCAAAATTGGAATTTACTTTGACAACCCCGAGTTTTAGACAGAGTGTTCTGCGATTTGAATGAACGCATACACAACTAAAAAGATGAAGTAAATGGCCCTAACAACTAATGAATATACCCGAATTTTACTTGACAATTTGTCCGGAGTTTCTTATCAATGAAAAACTATGAGGTTATATGACGGGAAGAGCGACTCAGACGTTTATAGGTGACATGAATTATTTTAAGAAGCAAATAATTGACTCAAAATAAAATGATTGTAACTTTAATCCTCAGTTTATATGAGCTGTATCGACGGCGTGATGAAACATAATTTAGGTAACGAAGTCATACTAAATCAACTTTTATTGCAAATAAACATAAGGCTTTTTTCTTTCACACGCTTACAGGAAAGAGGGAATGGGGGGGGGGGGGAGAGATAGAGAAATAGTGACAAAAAATACTATCTTCATCTCATTTTTTGATACACATACATGATTGTTCATTTAACTTAGGAGCAGGTGGAGATCAAACATTTCTTAAATCTCAAAAAAAAAAAAAAAAAAGCAACGTTAATTAAAGGTGCCCTCTGCGAACAAAAAGTTCTGAGAGTAAAAAGTATAAATTATTTTGTAATTAATGAGCTTCAGATAGATAGAAAAGTGATCGACTTGATTCTGAGATGTTAGCTTGCTTTTTTCATTATAAACCTAACTAATGGCACGATTCAGGCGAGTTAATTCAAACTCCCAATAACTGTTAAATGATGTTCGTATGAAAAAATACCTAAGCGCATAAATATTTTAAGTATCAATGATGTACAAGTAAATTGTATAAAGTGTCATCTACCAGAACGAACAGCTTGATTTGCCTTAAAACTTTTACTGTTTTTAAAAAATTTCGATTATTTTATTAAAAATTGATTTGCCTTGTCGTCATCCCTAATTGAATCGGGACTTGCGAAAACAGCTAATTCCATTTTCCCAGTCTTGAGTTTTTTTGAGATCATAACATTTTCAAAGAGTTGATACAACCATGAAAGTGATGGAAGGACTCGTTTTGGGATTAAGAAAACCCGGAGACAAGTTTCGAAACCACTCTCGTGATTGCAGCGAACTCCGAAAAGTATTATGAACTCAAATAAAATTAAGACTGAAAAACGGACATTAGCGGTTCTCGCACGTCCCGATGCAATCAGTGGCGCGATTTTATTATTCTGGTGCTTCGTGATAAAAGTCGCCTACCATTTTGCGGCGATAACTATTTTAACTCTGAGGCAATGAAATTGTATCACAACAAAATGAAGGCTGTTCATCAGGCATAGGTATTTCAGCTCCAGAATAATCAGCAATCGCATATCAGCTGCGCATGACACAATGTGTTTCTAAGGAACCAGATCCTGTAATTGAGTTAGAAAATTCCTGTTTCACTTATAAAGGAGTATCTTTGAAAATTGGGAGAAAATCAGAACATTTTCACATTCTCGCTATGTAATAGTTACTAATTTTACGCAGTTTCCACACGCTAAATCGCTAAGTCACGTGAAAAAAAAAGGATGATAATTTTTTTCAATTAGATTCCTGGTTAATTTTGGCAACAGACAGAATTGTGGTTGCAGCCGCCAGAGGGAGCCACAACAGCCAGGAGTTTAGTTGAAATCATTATACTTTTTCCCGTGGGATTTCATCGTTTTCTTACATGATCATTCTAACTAATGCACTTTACTCATTCATATTTTATTATTTATTCAACTGGCATTTTCATTTATTTAATGAGCATATTGTAATAGAGAAAATCCGATAACAAGAGAGAAGAAAAAGAATATTATACTGTTTAAAATCTTTCCTCTTCATTCACACTTGGTTTATTGCACCTTAATTTGATAAGGGCAAACCCTACCCAATCATTCATACGAATTATCTCAGTAAAGGGCTTGGGACCCAACCAGGCGATTTGTTTTAAACCTATAAAATTTGGTAGTGTGGCTAGTTTCACGACCTAACTCTTTTTGGCCATTTTTTGAGAGAAACCAACTGAAATTCACCTCCAGTCCAGAGTAAATAAAAATAAACTGATATTAAAACTGAAATTCCGCATTCTGTAGCACTGCTCGAGGCACACTTTTGACTTTTAGTCAGCAGTTCTTTTTTAAATTTTTTTCTGAATCAATTTCTTTCAGCGTTTTTCGATTAGAAGCGGCCTGCATGTGGGTGTTATGTGTATTCATATTCAACTTTCATCATTTTTTCTTGAATAATGGAACACAAAAACATTAATAGAGACATTTTTTCATATCATCTGTAGTCTGTCATATTCAATAACAGTCTGAACATTAATACACATTTCTTTAAAAGGAAAGAAGAGAATAAAAACTAGCCTGGTGTACTGACCTCTTTTTTGATTGGGGTAATTGAAAATAAATATCCTATCTTTTGCACGGGTATGACTTGTAAGGTAACCCAGGATGTCAAGGATTTGTTTAATTGAATGCTAATCCAAGATGAAAATGTGATTGTACCAATGTACAACTTCCTCGGGCTAGAACTTTTCTTACAGAATCACAAAGTAAAAAATAATATTTCACCTACATCTGGACCCCAGCACCTCGAATACCTCTGAAGAGAGAGTATGACGCTGGGTCTCGTGAAGTCCTTTAAGACGGAAAAAAACAAATAAAATAAAAATGGCGGCGAATTTTAAGTGACATGGGTAAAAGCAGCGGGGGTGGGTTGGTTAAAAAAAAATACATTTCCCTAACTGAGGAATTCGAGTAAATTTTATGGTTATATTACAAAAAACTAAAACATAATTTTTGCACTTTTGAATCGATTACTTGCAACGCTCGCTATTTTATTTTGGCCTATGAGTTTAATGTGGTCTAAAATGGCTAGGTCAATCAACAATGTAATCTCCAGTGTTTATACTCTCCCTTTTAAGGTACTCTCGACCATCTCTTTAGTAGAACGAATACGCATCCGACCTAATAACCGCCGGGGGCGACTATAGTCCCTTTTTAGAGAGAGTTGAGAGAACGCGACTTGTGGATGTCACAAACGGGAATAAAGATTACACAAATTGGACTTTTGCTGTAATCTTTGATTAACCCATTCCCAAGTTCCTGTCTCCGTGCCTTCTCTCATTTCATTTGTTCCTTGCCGTACCTCCTATTCTCCGGTCGATTCCAGTGTATAATCTTTGCAATCTGTGAAACTGTACCTATTCTTTATTCCCGTTTGTGACACTGTGAAGGCCTGAAATACGGGATCCAGTCAGAAGTGAATTCGCATTGTCTCTACTCTCAGTATAAAGGGGCTCTAGGGACGACTCCAGTGTTCAAAAAAGGGTCTCTTGAGATTTAGTGGATGGGAGGGAGGGCAAGGACTTATTAACATCTAATCGGACTTCCTGAACATTTTGAACTAGATGATCACACGAGTGACTCGTCGACATTAAGAACCCTGTTTTGTTTAACCCTGTTTGGTTGGCGTCCCTGTCCGCAGGCGCGTCCCCGCTAGGCTGGAGCCTCTCCAGGGATTTCGAGAACGTTGAGCCAGGTACAGTGTAGCGCTCGGCGCCACTAATTGAGCAACTCTCGCTGCCGGCCACCTTCCGTGACGTCACGGAATCCACCGACGTCACGACTCCTCGCGATGACGTCACAGAGTCCTCCGACTGCGTCCCCGACACTGAAAAGCTCGGAGCTTGCGCACTCGACGACGAGACGCGGGAACCAGAATCTACTTCCGACTTAACTTCCGCGACATGCACTTCGACCACCACCTTCTCCACTTTCCGCACTGACTCCGGAGATCTCGTCTCTCTCCGACGTCGGAGGAATTCATTCTCTTCCTTCACTAACGTCCTTGGAACCGACACACGCCTTTCAGACTGGAAGCATTCTGATTTCATTTCCTGGAGTGGTATGTCCTCTACCGTGCCTGACCTGTCGGTCCCGAGCGAATGCTGTCGCGACGTCGAAGCTCGGGCCATCTCCGGCTCATCCAAACGCTTTTGTCTTGATCTTAAGGTCGCGGCAGTATCTAACTTATTCCTCGGTTTGTCTACCTCCAACTGACACCTGGTTTCCACCCTGCCCAACTGCGTCATCGGTATCGCTTCCGGATCGGCGCTGATTTCCGGTCGATGGACTTCCGGTAGCGGCAGCTCGAGTCTCGTTATCTGCGTGAGCCCGAGGACGGTCTTGCTGCACGCCGGGAACTGCTCGTCGTCGTCCCCCGTCGATGAGAACGGGACAAGTCGAGGGTTTCCGGTTCCGGTGCCGGTGGGCAACTTCCGGTCTGCGGGCGCGGAGAAGCGGCGACTCGGCTTGGGCGAGTATTGGCGGGAACCGGTTTTCAGGGCGAGGACGACGTCCGGTTCGGCGGGGGCGGGGTCGGCGAAGGGGTTCTGGGAGGGGTGCCTCTGGGTGGCGGCCAGGCAGTCCTTGTCGACCTGGGTGTAGTGTTGGTCGGCCTCGCTGTCGGTGCTGAGTTCGTCCTCGATCTCGTCCTCCGTGTCGATCTCCGGGTCCTCGTCGATGAAGACCGTGTCGGAGACGGTGAGCGAGGTGCCCTCCGCCTCCGTGGAGAGACCCGAGCTCGTCATCGACGCTAGTGGTGCTTGTCCGGGCACCGAGAGAGTCGCTTTGCTCCGGTCCTCGGGCCGCAAGTGCAGGTTCGCTTCGCTTCCGGCCGGTGTCATCTCTGGGGTCGGCTGGATCACCTGCAAAAGGAAATTTTTCCCATTTTAAATTTGAGCTCAGTTTAAAAGTTCACGTTTTCGAACAGTCTCACGGAGAAAGAAACCTAGTGCGTGGGGCCCGAAGTTTAGGTCTTATGGATCTCTGAAGTTTTCGGATTGAGCATCTGAACACTTTAGGTCTAGCTGCCGAGGTTCGGATCGCACATCTGAAACTCCAGTTCTTACATCTGAAGTACTTCAGATATGAGAACCGAAGTTTTTCGGATGTGAGAACCGAAGTTGTTCGGATGTGAAAACCGAAGTACTTCAGATGTGGGAACTGAAGTTTCAGATGTGTGATCCAAACCTCAGCAGCTGGACCTAAAGTGTTCAGATGCTCAATCCGAAAACTTCAGAGATCCATATGACCAAAACTTCGGGTCCCACGCACGAAGTTTTTTTCTCCGTGAGGTTTGAGGAGGGGGTTTTAGAGGAAATCGACGGCGTAAGTCGGCAATCACATATCTAGAGCACACGCAGAGATACATTTTTACACACAAGTTTGGTAAATACTGGAAGTGAAACACAAAATAACACTAGTCTTTGGTTGAAAATTTCAAGAGTAAATGCCGGTTAGTTTTTTGAGGAACTTTAATAAAAAAACGACTGGTGGATACCAAAGTCGCAATCGGGGGAATGCATTCCCCCAGATTATTTTGTGTAAAGAGCCATGCACAAATTCGCCCGTTTTTGGGCCCTCGAAATTGGGGTCGGTGTGAGGTTTTTTTTCATCTATAGGGTGACCCTTTACACATAATAAAATTTCAGATTGAGTACACGCACCGTTTTTGAAATATGGGGGGGCAAAGTCCCCGATTTTTACTCATATTTGCAGGTATTTTATAGTCGAACTTCGGCTGCTACAAGGTACCGGATGTAGATATTGAAGCGCGGTTTGCGGTGATTTGTCAAGCTATTTCTGGATTATTTTTNAAAACCTCACACCGACCCCAATTTCGAGGGCCCGAAAACGGGCGAATTTTAGCCCTTTTTGTGCAAGGCTCTTTTGGTAAAGTTCACGGCGAATAAAAAATGAAGAGACTGGGAAAACGCATTCCTCTGATTGTGACATTGGTACTCACCACTCGTTTTTCATTTAATTTATTCAAGAAAACTAGAAGACATTTTCTTTTGAAATTGTCAAACGAAGGCTAGGGTTATTTTATATTTTACTTCCCGTACTAACCAAACTCTTACTAATTGAAATAGCCTTCATGCACGCTGGGCTTGTCGATTTCCTTTGACATGTTTGCAGTGGTGAATGCATAGCTAAAGTGCGCTCCAGCTAGAATTGTATTTAGCAAATGGGTAATTTTTATAAGAGGATTATAAATAAACAAGTGGTTAGAAATGAAAACAAAAGAATATGAACTATGCAAAACGATAATCCAGATATCGGAACTTGGCTGTTTTGAAAACGCCTTCAAATGCGGCGTGATACCTCACGCATTCCGGAGAGTGCAAATAGTTGTATCATTGCGCCTTAGAAATGCGACGGAAGATTACAAAATTGTCGCATATGGGTCACAAAGAACAAAACAGAAGAGCAATCCACTTATTTTCGAAACTCTTTTTGACGCATAGGAAAAAATGTCCTTCAGAATTGTGGATATGCAACCCCTTGACGGCTGCGTTCGAATAGTTATCGCTTGCGTTCCTTGGACATTTCATTGAGAACCCTTAGGTCGCGCATCACAGGATGGAAGGGGGGAAAACCAAAGAGAGGGATTACATAGGAAAACAAGGAAACTAGCTAGCATTTTCTTGCAAAATTGTCAACCGATGGCTTGGGTTATTTTGTGTTTTACTTCCCGCATTAACCAAACTTTTGTGTCGAAATTTCTCTCTGCGCACGTCCTTACAACTCAATTTCAATAAAAATCATGATGTTTTTGATACCTTTCCCAGAAGGAAAAGATCTTCTCTTTTTGCGCGTCGCTCTTCGCATTCCGCAGAACGGGCCGCTGGCGGTTGGGCTCACTTTTTTATCAATAGGAGCGATGAAGTTGGATTTCAATCTGACATTCTCACTTCCCTTTCGACGGTGAATTCCATTGTTACTGGCATTTTCACCCGGAGCGCCCGAGTCAATATCGAGATCGTTTCGTACTTATCCAAAGTAAACGCCAAGTTCGCCAGTCAGCCCATTCTCGTCGCCGCAAACTTGCCGAGGGTTTAATTGAAAAGTCAACGCCGAGGCACTTTCTGCCGTCGCTTGCCGCACAGTGGAACGAGATATTCGGAGAAGTCAGACACGAATTCTATAAACTGTAATCCTTGAGTAATCCCGAGGGTAATCCTTTATTCTGGGAAACCATCGGGCTGATTTCTTTGAATCTTGTTGCATACGAAAGCTGTTGATGTCCAGGTGATACCAAAAGTTCGAAACTTTTAATATCCGCTCTTAAAAGTTTTCCACTAACTCGCGAACTGAGTGATCGGGGGTCTAGGAGGCTGACTGAGAGTGACCCGCGGGCCGATTATTGAAATTGACAGACAAAGCTATAGACAAAAAAGACAAAAGGGATATGGAGGGATCCTATTGGTGGAAGCGAGTGGTGGAAAAAATTAACTCCCTTTTTTGCCTCAGCTGACGTTTGCAACAGCCCCATCAGACACTGTTGATCTATGATACGAAAAGTTTAAGTTTTAATCGCAGAAGTCGTGGATGAACGGAACCTAGGGCCGTGTTGAATGAGCAAAATGTGACGCACTTAGTAGATACCCGTTTTTAATGTAAATTAAGAGGCATCGTCTTCCGCCTGCGTTGATGTTAACACAAGGATACGACTATTCGCGCTTAGAGGATGACCGTGTTGCATATGCAAGAAATTGAAGGCACTCGAGGATTTCTCTATCCTATATAAGTTGTACCTTATGGTTTTTGAAGCGGAAAGCTTATCGAGAAAAACGCATATTTCTCCCGCAGATTATGCATTTCGGAGTGTATTTAAGACTTTTGCAACGGGATCATCGTGATTTTTGAGTCATTTTCTTTTGGAATCAACTCTTTTTTTTCGCTCTAGCTGAAGTTTGCAACAAACCCATTCTAAATTTTAAAAGATGCTTTCAACAGATGATTTTATAAGAGAATCAATGGAGCTACTTTTAAACCCTTTTTTCCTATTAACGAAGATAAAGGCTTTTAAATTGACGAATTTCTGCCAAAGGAACCATGTGCATTATGACGTGAGCCCTATAATGCATATCGTCACCTCCCGGGCAAAGTATCACAAGTGCCATGCGATGTTTAAAAATTTCCTCCGCCATTTTATTTTTTCACAGAGGAATTATTCAACGGAGCTGTCTGAAAATTTCACTGAATTTTCTTCTTGCTGCCGATAGAATTTAGTGAAGTTTTCAAATAGATTCAACCAAAAATTTCCCTGTAAAGAAATGAAATAGCATGGGACATTTCCAAACGTCGCATGGCGCTCGTGATACTTTGCCTGGAAGGTGACGATATATTCTCAAGGTCACAGGGCTCGTGTCTTAATGCACGTATTTATGGCAGAAACACGTCCGAGTTTTCTACATAGTGTCCAACTTTTCCCGGTGACTCGCTTTACTGTGCGGTGCCCGACGCGTCTCGATCCGGGCGAACTTTACCAGAACCGCTCAAATTGAGCGCGAGCTTGTTGAGCATCGCGACTGGCTCCAGTCGGAACGCGAAAGGAGTGAGTTTCATCTTCGGAGAGGCCGAACGGATGAGTGGAACTGGCGTTGCCTCTCCTGGCGCGGCGCGGGCGAGAAAGGTTTGTTTAATTATTCAGGGATCACTACTTCAAGGAGTGTTCCACGTTCGCGCGAGCGCTAGCAACAAGTAGTTTAATCAGTGCGCAATGTAACTCACTCGGCTCTGCTCGCCGGCGTGACGAATCCGGCGAGATGTTCTGGACTCGAGCAATCTTGAATATTCAATGCGTTCGCTCGCTGAGTGTAGACAAATCAGCCTTTTAAGGCGCATTTTAGCACAAAGGCGTTCGGTTTATACTCAGGTACGAGTTGTAGTCGGAGGTAACATTGGGGACAAAATGGACCGCGTTAAACAGAAAGGAACCAAGCCACATCGGCCATCGCCAAATTTAATCGAGCAATTTAATTTTTTACATGAAAACGGATGTACGGATTTTCGCGCAAATTTCAGTGGATTTTCTCTACAGTACAAAGCAAATTCCTTACAATTTTCAAAGGAATCCGCACAAACGTTCTCTCGTAAAAAATTAAATTGCCCAGTTAAATTTGGCAATGGCTGATGTGGCTTGGTTCCTTTCTGTTAAACGCGGTCCAAATGTCTCTTGGACCCAGAGTCTTGGTCCTAGAAAAATTTGAAAAGAAAAAATTCTCTCGATTCAATCTGATTTTGGATTGAATCAAAAGTAAATCAGCTTAGATTAATGGGCTCGACTCTCGATTCAGGCGAAAATCCGATTGAATCAAGAGCATTTTTTCTGGTCCTTTTCAAGAGCCTGGACTTGGGATCCGAGAGACTCTTTCTCCGGTGAATGTGAAATTGTGAAAACAAAACCGTTTTCGCCAAATCTTGCATATTCTTCATTTGCAACTCATTGAGCATATTATGGTCACGTAATGATGAATGTTCAATGTCGATAAGAGCACATTCCTAGGGATTTTCTACAAATTAAGTCAGGTGTGCAAGACCAATGGCTCAAAACTTTGGTCATATCGGCCATGTTTGAATTTTTGCAGCGGTATCTCATTGTGCTCCCTCACAAGGATACATTTCCGTAATTGTACCGTTGGGTTTTACTAGTGGGCCACAACAATTTTCACTATTACGCTGAAAAAAAAAAAAAAAACTCCGACCTTGGAAGCCGTACTTACGGGCTATATAGCCATACCGTCCGCGTTTCGGGCTCAAAGGCCGAAAATTCCAGGCGTAGTACCCAGGCCGATCGAAGCTACACTGAAAAAAATGGTTATGTGGTGTGAGTCCATACTGCTTGGAAAATCTAAGGTATGAACGTCTCACACATACGGTCTGGCTTTCACGACTAGAGCAGAGATGTGCCGTAAACATGTCGTGGATGGAAAAGCATGTGTATGAACTTACCGTTCATGCAGTATGGACGCTGGGTCCATACGGCAAAGACGCTGGGTCATACGGTATAGACGCTGGGTCCATATGGTGTAGACGCTGGGTCCATACGGTATGGACTCAGAGTACATACTCTTCGTATGTAATATTTGTTCATACTAAAATGGACTCTATCTCTATTCATAGGTCGGCATCAAATTTTTCACTGTCCGTATGTGGCCCCGCCTCATAGGAAGAAAAGGAGGTGTTTGCATTTCGGGCATCTTGGAATTTTTTTGATGACGTAGGTCGGTACGGCGATTTTTATCATCGATTCTCTTGGAAATGGTGTAGTTTATCGAAAAAATGCATACCATATAAAGTGTTTGAAATTGTATCATGAGTTGATTTAAGCAAAAAAATCGGTCGTTTTTCATATTTCGAATTCCGCATTTTGCCGACCAGGTTGTACCGACCTACGTCACAGGGTACACAATCTTCAAGATGCAAACACCTCCGTTTTTTCTCTATGGCCCCGCCCCATAATTTTTGAAACGTGAGAGCATACATTTTTTTCAGTGCACAGCTCCAGTACCCGGAACTTTTGGCCTATGAGCCCGGAACGAACGGTATGTCTACGTAGCCCATGACTTTTTTTCAGAGTATGATGCTGTGTTCAAGGCATCCTTAACGATACCGGACTACTCACCTAAAGCCTTTTCATCTATTGGATATTTCACCTAATCCTTTTTACCTAAAGACGTTTCACCTTCGAAAATTTTCTTCAGCTATTTTCATCAGCTGTTTGGCAAAATGGCAGCATGTCATTTTGCCATGTTGCCATGGGAGTACCTTCGTTTCTTCGTCAAAATGTATTTAGGCCAAATTTTTCTGTAGGTCAATAACCTTGTAGATGAAAATTCCGTGTCGACGAAAAATGCTATAAATGAAACTGTCTTTAGGCCAAAAATACGTAGATGAAAAGTCTTAGGTGAAATGTCCGAGGATAAAAATCCCGTAGGTGATTATTCTTTAGGGGAATAGTCCCGGAATCCTTCCTTAAAGCTCCCCTTTTGACAATGCAAACTACGATCCTTTGATAAAATTGAATAAGAGGCGATATACTTGGATATCAATCGGATAGTAGAAATCCCACGGTGCCTCGGAAAGCGCCTTGTCGGTCTTGCAGATGGAGGGCCTGGGCGGGAAGCCCATCTCGAGGGCGGAGGTCCGCCGCTCCAGGTACAAGTAGGAGGCGTCCGAACTGGAGCAGGTGATGGAACTCAAGCGTCGCGAGGAGCCCGGGACTCGGAGGAAGTGGCCCCCTCCCTCCTCGAACGAGTCCTCCTCTTCCTCCACCTGAAATCAAAAAACAACATTTTTTAGTTGGATTTGATGAAAAGACACCGATTTTCTCTCTGAGACCCTAAAACCACCTCGAGGCGGACCGATTTGTGCCCCTAAAACCATCTCAAAGACCGATTTACGTTCTTAAAGGACTCCTTTGGAGCTATACAAGTGGACCGCGTTAAGTAGAAAGAAACCAAGCCACATAACATATCACCTTTAATTGGGCAGTTTAATTTTTTGCATACAACATTTTTTAGTTGGATTTTATACATAGAAGACCGACTTGCGCCCCTAAAATCACCCCAAAGACCGATTTACGACATTAAAGGCCTCCTTTGGAGCTATACAAGTGGACCGCGTTAAGTAGGAAGAAACCAAGCCACATAAGCTATTGCCTTTAATTGGGCAATTTAATTTTTTGCATACAACATTTTTTAGTTGGATTTTATGTAGAGAAACCGATTCTCTCTCTGAGACCCTAAAACCATCTTGAGGACCAATTTGCGCCCCTTAAAACCACCCCAAATTGTTGTGTTTGATGGGATTGTTGTGTTTATTGTGTTTGGTGTGTTTGATGTGTTTATTGTGTTTGGTGTGTTTGTTGTGTTTTTTATGATTCTTGTGTCTGATATGACTCCAAAGGCCGATTTACGTCCTTAAAGGACTCATTTGCACCTATGCAAGTGGACCGCATTAAGTAGAAAGAAACCAAGCCACATAAACTATTGCCAAATTTGATTGGGCAATTTAATTTTTTACATAAAAACGGTGGTGCGGATTTTTTTGAAAATTTTAGTGAATCTTCTGCATTGTACGAAGCAAATTCCTCAACAATTTCAAATGAATCCGCACAGACTGAAATTACTTGTGTGTCTATTTGTTGTTGTTGTTTGGCACTTCTTTTCCTTTCGATATACTATATGTTGCCGGTTGAAATTTGAGCAATTTTTTTCCAAATTTGAGCAATTTTTTTCCACATTTGAGCCGGTCTGGCGGCCCTTAAGCAACCGGTTTGGGCTACTAGACCGACTGATCCTTAATCAGGAAGGTCTTCAGCGTGAAATGAGCCCAATATCATGTATATATGATTCCGATTAAAATCCGAGCAATTTTTGCGGGTTTAGGGGCCTAAAACTTTTTCGGTGCAACCGGTTGGCCTTGACAGGCCCATTTCTTTTTACCGACCAAAATGCGCTTCGAATGAGGAGGGCGGCAAATTTACATTATTCTGGTTAAATAAATGTCCATGAACTCTCGATCTAATAGCGGAGCATTGAGAGTTCACGCCTCGCGCCATCACGCCTTCAATTTTGCAGATGCAGCACGGACGTCCATCAAGCACGAATAGTCGTATCTCTGCGCCGTCGTCAACGCGCATCCTTTCACTTGCTCTACTTCCATGTTGTGTTGGTTTCCGTTTGTCTTATTCATAATGGTGCTTCAAGGACTACGTGAGCAACACAGCCAAAGATAAGGGAGACGTGTTCGGGCCTCGTTTTTTTAACTTTTCTTCCAAATCTCACTATAGCACTAGCAGCATAGAGCAGAGCATTGCAAGTTCACACGTCACAACTCACGCTAACGCGCCTTAAAGTTTTCATATGGAAAATGGACATCCATCTTAAGCAAATAGTGGTGTCGCGTTTAGATGTCTCTTATTTATGAAAATTTAGATAAGTTAAGGTTAAGTTTGCTCAAAATATGATATGGTTCATGTCTGAATCAATGGGCATTTTGAAAAGTAAGAAATATGTTTAAAGGTCTCTTAAGCACTATATGAAAGGCGCACGTCGAAAAATCGAACCGAACATAAATTCTAAGGGAGTTACACGTAGCGGCGGATGAAAGAGGGGAATTATAAAGCGCCTGTATGTCAACAAAAAGGTGAAAATTTCATAAAAAGTGTTCCCACTTCAGAAAAAAGTTCCCGGACCTGCGTTCACCACAATCATGCGTACGAGCACCTTTCATTACTCCTTGCTCTCTCTCTCCTCCCGTTAATTTAAGAAATTTTCTGCATATTTTCTCGTTCGTAACTTTTTTCCTTCTTATTCTATCCGTCAGAGGGGCACGTTTTCGGTGCGTCAAGGGACGTATCTGCCAGTGCGAGCCTGTTGCTAATATAAAATAAACAAACATTTTCATGACTTGGAACCAGCAAATATGTCATGAATCGGAAAAAGCATTCCAAATGAAATTATTTCCTCAAAAATTGACATACCAAAAGGGAAATCGATTCAACATTTTTGTCACTAAATTTTAATTTGACGGATAAGTTATTTTTCGACGCACGCGAGAAATGTCATCAATCTTCATTTTGTACAAACACTATTATGTCTCATAAACGCAGAGCAATCGTGCTGAAAACTGTTAACACATTTGATAGTGCTTTGAATGCTCTAAGTTTCAACTCCTCAAAAAAAACAAAAAACAAAAAAAACTGCGTTGCGCAACTGTGTATTCCCCTGTAACCACAACTTACGGAGCTGCGAACGTATACGCACATTTTTCATGCTCAGAACCGCCACATAAATTTTGCACTGTTCGACGACGCTGTCACACATGGCGCGTTAAAAAACCTATACTTGGAAATAAATCGGCGAGGACGACAATGCTATTTTTTTCTTCGTTTGATTGGCATTTCGTTATGCGTATACTTCGGAATTCCATGATGATTTAATTTTTAATAAGACCAGACTCGGAGTTTTGAAATCACTCCGAGCTTTGACATCACTCCGAGCTTTGACTGGCTTCGTAAATATTTGGTTGGTGGTAGTGAAACTCAGTGCGCAGTTTTCTGTTGAAGCTTATTATTAACAACCCTAGGTTGTGGCGTGCAAGCGTAATATGCGCAAGGGTTATTGTACAGTTCAGGGGGAAAAGTTTTCGAGTCAATGTAATTTTTCCATTAGCAAATTGAGAGGCGCCACCTCAGTTATAGGTGGTCGTAACCAACTGATTAAATGTAGTGAATGGCATCAATGGAAGGGAAATCAATTCATCACTGAATCGTGGAACTCTCTTTATCACTACGCAGTACATACTTAAGTACATCATCAGAATATTTAAGTACATATATACAGGGTGCCTCAGTATTACACTACTTGACCGCAGGAGCGTATTCTATGAGTCAAAACAGACTTTTTCTTTTTAATTTTTTTTCTAAAAATGCCCCTCCTCGCAACGACGACCCTTAAAAGTCTCAGAAAATCATGGTTACTCTGAATTTTTTCCAATGGCTACGGCTAAAAAGTTTCCGTGAATAATAGGAGCTCCATGAATAATATTCAACATATATTCATGTCTTACCCTGGTAAAAATTGGCAGTAGAATCTGTGCTCCAAAATACCATAGACCTACAGCCAGCTGTAAGATTTCCAATAGCTTCTATAGCCGGCAACACAATTTCTTATAGCCGATGGCGACTAAGCAACAGTCTGGCGATAAAGTGCATGCTAAACGTTACTAATTACGGATGCTAGGACTTAGTGAGTTTTTGGACTACCGCTCTCTTTTTGGGCCGTAGTAACTTGATTTATTTTGCGAGGAAAGCTCCGCACTTTTGAAGGATGCCTGCCATTCCTAATATGTTGGAGTGCCTTCAATTTTGTATGATACTGTGCAATACCTCAGGTGTGAAATAGTTGCTTCAAGCGCCGTGGTACGCTGCGGCGAGCGGGCAGCCAGCGCGAAACGCGCATTGGCGCCTACAAACCTAACAGGGATACTTCACGCATTGCGCAATGGAGTTGCGCAAAGGAGTGCGCCGCCGCTCCGCTTAGTGTTAGGCTCTAATATTTAATCTCGTGGAGTCAACGTTTTTCAACTCATGACTTTGAAATGTTTGCACTCTCTGTATAGATTATTCTCATTGTAATTGATGAAGAAAAATGTAGTAAAGGAAAATATAATGTGCGTTTTGTAAATATTAAGGTGATTCCATACAAACTTAAGGATTTACAAAGCATACGAATTTCTACACAATTTCTTATAGCCTTTTATAGCCGATGGCGAAAAGCAAAAGCCAGGCGATAAAGTGTAAAGCCCGGCGATAGGAACTATAGCCCGGATGTATGATTTTTTATCGCTTCGTGTAGCCCGGCCGTATGATTTTTTTCCACTTTCTACAGCCAGCTATATGATTTTCTATGGCCTTCTTCAGTCGGCTATAAGAATTCTTATGGTATTTTGAAACGCAGCTCCTATCGCCAATTTTTACCGGGGTATAATTATATCGTGTAATGAGGACTACTCTGTCTTTTTCAGCGTTACGCGGACAGTTAATTAAAAAATGATGTGGCTGAAGCTGGTATTTTTATTTCTGATGACACTAGTTAGCATTGAAATGAGTCATATTTCGGATCTTCTAAACACGCATCCAACTTGGTCGGTGAGCTATGCACAATTTATTATTGATGGGATCGTATTAATCAAATTTTTGCAGTGCAGCCGTTGAGATTTGTAGTCAATATAGGTAAAATGGTTTCTATTGTGAAAAAATTAAAATTGGGATAGCGACCATAATATAAAGGGGTAAACTCTACGTCGATTGGCAAAAATTACACCAAAAATAAGTCAAAATTAACTATTCACTAACATTTCAAAGCTGGAGAACAGAAAAAAATTGGAAATTCGAGGAAAACGTTGTTAAAGTTTGCCGGCAGTGGGTGTTGCTTTCTTTAGAAATAATTCATTTTAAACATTTTGGCTTGAAATTTTGAGCAGACGTCTTTTTGAAGTAGCTTGTTCTTTCAGGATACGTACTCGTATATTCCGTACGCTGATGCATGTATCTTAAACGGGGAGAAGAAGGAAAAGTAGAAGAAGAAACGAGGAAGTGGAAGAAGAAGAAGAGGAGGAAGGAGGAGAAGAGAACGAAGAAGAAGAAGAAGAAAATTATTGGTGTGAAAATTGCGTGCTCTAGGGTATTTCTACCTCAGTACGGCATCATATAAATGTATTTTTATCTCGGGCTGAAGGGTTTTAGAGTCCCTTTATACTGAGAGTAAAGACAATGCGAATCCATTTCTGATTGGTTCCCGTATTTTAGGCCTTCACAGTGTCACCAACGGGAATGGAAATTACATTTACATTAATTGCAAAGATTATAAACTGGAAATGGACCGGGGAATTGGGGCTACGGCAAGGAGCAAATGGATTGAGAGGGGAATGGAGACAGGAATTCGGGAATGGGTTGATCAAAGATTACAAAAAACGTCCGATTTGTGTGATTTTTATTCCCGTTTGTGACATCCATAAGCAGCGTTCTCTCAACTCTCTCTATAGAGGGACTTTAAAGGGTTTTTGTGTGTTCTGCCTTTAGTTCGAGTTGGAAAGCGTTGAGGCACTGATCAAGAGAGGCATGAGCGAACTGAATAGGATTCACCCGGACATGGAGATCTCAGAGGACGTACTGCGGACGAAGATCGCGAAGCACTTTGGTCCAGGAACAACGCATGTTGCGCGGAAGACAGGGGACCCCAAGTGGCCGGAGAGAGTGCCGCAGTCCTTCGACTCAAGGGATCACTTCAAAGAATGCGCTCACCTCATCGAGGACATCGAGGATGAAGGGCCCTGCTATAATGAAGTCGTGAGTTTTCAAGGAGTTTTATGCAGGAGTATTCGCGTCTCCAACTCACTGGATCGTAATAGAGCACCGAGATTGGGGAAGTACCGAGGTCTGTTCAATAAGAAACCGGATTTTGGTGATATCGAGCCCACCGTACGTTCGAATTAGGTTTTCTTGGATTTTCCTGATAGCTGAAAGCATACTAAAGAACGCTAGGCTCACAGATTTTCTTTATTTTGATGAGTGTTCATTCTGCGTTACCTTGAATACGAGTAAGTCAGGTGCATCCTGCGATTTCCATCATGCGATCACTGATAAAACGAGGATTTAACATTACATTTTGTTTTAAACTCGGCATGCCGTGTGCCGAAACTTTCGGTATGCTAGGTAAAGTTTACCAAGATCATTGTTTGAGTTGTTCTCGTCGTTTTGAGTGGTTGAAACGGTTCAAACCTGGTCAGGAGTCCGTCGAAGATGAGGAGCATAGGAATCGACCATCAACAGCAACTGAAATTTGCCACGTGGAAGAATTGCGGGCAGAAGTGCTCAAAACTGGTAGTTTCGAGCTTCCTGAGCCATGTGATACTTCTGAAGGCTCTGTACATACAATTTTGATAGAATATTTAGACAGGCATCGAGTTTCAGCTAAACTTGTCCCGTGATTGTTGTCCGTTGAAAAAAAAAATCCAACCCAGATTCAATTTCCCTTGAGCTTTTTGAACATTCTGATCCTATATTTTTGGATAGGATAATTTCCGGTGGCAAAACTTGGGTGTACGGCTGCAATATGGAGACGAAACGCCGATCATCTATGAGGGTTGATAAAGGTAGTGCAAGACCAAAAAAAGAGCGAAAAGTTCGGTCAAACATGAGAATCGCAGAACACACATGCAGTTGCCTTACTTCAAGCCACGTAACCACAAAGGTAATCAAGATTTTTCAAATTTGTGAACGTAGCGTTCTTGAATATATTTTCAGTTATCAGGAAAGTCCAAGAAAACCTAATTCGAACGTACAGTGGGCTAGTTATCACCAAAATCCGGTTTCTTATTGAACAGACCGCGTATCACTGGTTGTTTCATTAACCTGAGACCCAGAGACAGACCCAGACGTAAGAAGGGGACTTGCATTAGCCACTTCCAGACGCTCAAAGTGGAGCGTCAGTCTAGGAGTATCGATGTCGTCGAGTATGTTGTTGACACTTGAGGTTAAAAAAAAATTTGGGAAAGCCTTACTTTTCGGTGAGAGTTAATTCGGACTCGTTGATCAAAAGTCATCAGCCCGCATCGATAGTCCCAGACCAACGCCCCAGTTTGAGCGTATGGAGGGGGCTATTGATATCTTAGCAATGGTTAAAGTTCTTTATTTTCGGGACCCTAACATTTAATTGTTGACCTATCTCCTGGGTAGATGTTAAACAAAGTGTTGAGCATTTTTGTCTACAAACAAACCGAAGTTCGGTGAAATTATTCGGCATATTACGTCACCCAGAACTAATCCCTCATCTAGGTAGGACAACAGTCGACGAATGATGGCTGTTACAGGTTGCTGCCTCATACTAATTGTTCATAAAAAAATGTTGAAGCCTCGAAAAAAAATGCTGCACTCAAGCGCCAAGAGGCTTATGGAACGTTTCTCATTGTCTCTGACCTCAGGTTTCAGAGAGGCATTGCGTCTTCCCACATGAAATATCCGATATATAGTCGTTGCCAGCCATCATATTCAAAGAAAAGCAGGCTTGCAGTGATCCGAGATGATATTGAGTTGTTTTAAAAAGTCTTATAGAACATGATCTAAGCATATTACATAAGTTAAAACTTGGTCCGCGTTAAGAAGATAGGAACCACAGCCACATCAACTATTGCCAAATTTAACTATTGCCAATTTAATTTTTTACAAGAGAAAATTTTTGCGGATTCTTTTGAAACTTTTGATGAATCTACTTCTTACTATGCAGAAAACTCACTGATATTTGCACAAAAATACGCACAACCCTTTTCATGTAAACTGCCCCGTCAAATTTAGCAATAGCTGACGTGGCTTGGTTCCTTTCTACTTAACGCGGTCCACTCGATCTAGAATCAAAAGATCCATTTTAATTATTGCAGGAGTAATGAATCGAAAGGAGAAAAAGTGGAATAAAAAAAAAGTAAAAATAAAAAAAAAATTCAAATACTTTGTTACCAATTTCAATTCATTTTTCGTTATGTTTTTATCGTTAAAGCACGTGATGGTCTCCTCAGTGGCTTCCGATAGATATTGCATCTACACAAATGCAACATTCAGAGACCACCTTTCATCGGAATATCTCACCGGATGCTATTCCTCATGCACCAGACATCAGTATATTTACCCCACCTGGAAGAAGGTTGTTCAAGTCGGTGTACCATCCGGCGGAAAATATCATTCAAATAAAGTAAGCTCATGTATCATGAATTGAACCGATTATTTTCCAAATCACGTAAGAGCCAATCTCTATTTTGGTGTTAGAGGGGTTGGTTTTCCTTTATTTTCTCTGGTATAATCAATCATGTCTGATTACAAAATTGTCCTCTAAAATTGAAACATACGTGTATTTAAATTCAAAGGAACCATCTCCATTGTGACATGAATTCTTAAACCCGTAAGATACACATGTATACATGCCAGGGCCCCTGCTTCAATTGAGATAGTCACTTTTGATATAAATACATCAATTGTAGGGGAGAAAACTAAGATAAATACATGCAGTTTTCTTTTTACGGAAATGATGTACAAAATATGTCATTGAATAGTTCTGAATGACAGTCAGCTTGCTTGCTCTTGACGTTCGCAATAATTATTCGTTTTTATTATGAGTGATTTGAAGTCTGGTTACCTATCCCGATATCACATTGATTTTCTACTATATCAACTCTACTTGTAATTTTTCAGGGATGCTTGCCCTACGAACATGCGCCGTGTAAGCACACTGTTAATGATTATACTGCCCAGTTGATGACCAAGACGGAGAGAAGTGTACAAAAAGGGGGCGGTTTGAAATCTTGCGATGAGTACATGGCTTACGACCACGACTGTCCCACAAAATGCTCAAATTCAAAGTACCCTGTGCGACTCGAGGATGATATGAAAAAAAGTAAGATTTTAATTACTCAAAAAAACCAAAATGACAGAGTTTACGAATCATTATATGTTTCACCTCGGTGCAACTAAATTTTGAATCCTATTGACTATTAGTAGAGCCAATCGCAAAAGTTGTAAATAATTTTTAAATATAGGCGAATTATCGAAGCATCAACATCTGCACTTTAAAATTAATTACATTTTTGTTTGGGTTTCTCAACAGTGACAACTTACTACCAGCTATCGAGATTTGAGTATCAGATCAGAAATGACATTTATGCATATGGTCCTGCCGTTTCAGACATTTTCCTTTATAGCGATTTTTTCGACTACAAAAGTGGTAAGTACAGCAAGCATTCATTTTTAATGAAAGATATTTTAGAAGACGCACATTTAAAGCTTTTCAAGATGACTCATGAGATTTTTTGACCATCCACTGGAGCGATGTACCTACATAATCCTTTAAACTCAAAGAGCTCAAAATAAAAGAGTCACGGCAGAAGGTAACTGCTTGGAAATTGAATGTTTCCTAGGCAAAATAGTCTTATAATGTCGGATGTTTTTACGTGATGAATGTATTTGATATCTATTTCGCCACTCTTCTATTTAAAAAAATCATTCGAGGGTCAAATTCTATTTCCGATAGCACACTTAGGCATGTTGACATAAATCATTGAGAGTTCAGTTAGCAATTGAGTACTTAAGATTTCATTCTAAAGCCTATTCATCGCTTTTATTCATGCCAAACATTTTTCAATGAAATACCTAAAATAGCAACGGAGAAAATTTTAATTTCGATTTATGAACGAACAAACCGTTTTCTGGCGCAGATTTGCCTAGCTTTCCTTGAAACTATATCCTTTTTTGACCCACCTCGGGAGGAGGGTCGAGAATTTTGGATGTGGTTGTCATTGCTGCCAGCATGAAAACCAAATGTTGCAGGCTCACCTTCACCATGAGAGAATTTCATTTTGTTATAACGGAGGTTAGCCGTTGGTTAATACTTCAACCAAATCCACGCGCGAAAATTCGCCTTTTTAAGTGAGTTCAAAATTTTTTTCAGAATACAACTTGATTCGTTTCCGTTAAACTTGACCTGATAACCTGAATGTATTTCTCAACTTTCCCGGTAATTGTCTAGGTTTATACAACAAATCGACGGATGCCACACTACTGTCGTACAACAAACTCATTAAGTTGATCGGTTGGGGTACCACTGAGGACGGGACCCCTTATTGGCTGGCGATGAACGAATGGGCTGGCTGGGCCGACGACAAGAAAGTTTTCAAGTTCCCTCGCGGAGTTGACTTCCTCTGGGCGGAATCGTTCACCACATCGGGCGTCTATGATCCGCTGTGAAACTCCCAAGTGGTTTAGGTTAAAATAAATTGAAATTGTATAAAAAAGTGGGAGCCGCAAAAAACAGCTTATGTCCATGCCATCAATAAAGGACAAAAAAAAGGAAAAAAAAAAAAAATGTTACAGAATTAAAATTGAGTACACCAGGTGTTCTTCTCACGTTCCATTGTGAGTTGTTGAACTGACTAACACCCAATGCTTTAGGTGACTCCTTTGAAGTGGTCAAGAAAGTGCGCCGAAAAGTTCAGAATAAGCTCTCATATATATATTTTACTTCCATTTTTATTGTTTTGACAGACTTCGAAGTTCCTATTCAAATTTATTTTAATGTTAAAGCTCGTATTTATGTTTCCCTTTATTGAATGGTTATTGTTTGTTAACTTTGAATTTTCAAGATTCTCAGAATTAATTATGGACAGATCATGCCAAAACTGCAAATTTCCAGTCAATTTCCGTTTGTGCCAGCCGCAAAGAGAGGTCTCATCTTTTTGACTATTGCAGAATCGCATGCCAGCGATTTAAACAGTTTTAAATACTTTTGAAGGGATCGAATAGTTACTTGATTCGGAGATTTCAAAGGGTCTTACTTAAACAGCTAATGTCCATTTACTTTCCTTTTCATTGTGTTGTAGTTTTTTTACTTAATTTCAGTAAGTATACGAACAAAATATCGATAGTGTAATAATTAGCTCATGGACACAACTCATTCTTACGATTGAAAGGTTCTTACCATTGTTTCAAGTTTTTAACCAAATTAGGGAAAAAGGACATCAGCTATTTTCCCACGATCCAATTCAATGAAAACATTTTAAATCGGATTGTTGTGCATGTTGCCAATCTGCTAATTGAAGGGGCTCCAGTGATTGAAATTTACTACAATAATATTGAAATATATTGCAATTGTTTTTTTCTTTTCCAAATAGTCTATTTTCTAAAAGATAGAATATAATAGATTGATTGCTTTACATAAGTTTTCATCAACAGAAACATGGAAAAATATCGTGATTTCATGGTAATAAATTAAATATTTGAATCAAACCACAACTTAAATCCAATGGTGTCGGCGCACCTTAAATCTTGGGCTGGTGACAGATCGGAAACCACCACCACCATGTGCCACGACTGTGGTTAAAAATTTCCCTTGAATATTCGAAGAAAGACAGGAGAGGTATGGAGTGTGTATGACCAACATCTTAAATTTAAAGGGTTAGGGCTTAATCTCATTGCAACGCTTCAAAGTCTTACTGAAAAATGTATTTTATGCTCAAGGACCGTCGCTTAAGGAATTTCGCTCAACATTTTTGGCGATTTGACTAAAATCCTTCGGAGCTTTTAATTTTAGAATATACGTACTCTTCAATGAAAAAAATAAAAAAAAATTCGTTAATGAATGTAATCAATCAGATGTGACTCTGTATCGTTGTCTGTAATTATGCCTGCTTCAGTGGAATTTTCTAGGAATCTATGGCGTTTAATTACTCTCTCATGATTCATATAAATAAGAGCAGAAGTACCTGCATTATCTTGAAAGTATTCATTAGAATTTTTTCGTCGTGACCTGTCAATCATATTTGTAATGCAAACCGGATATTGCGGTAAGTACATCTCTACTTCACTCTACGTGAGACAGTTTCTTGTATGGGTAGTGGAATCGTCGAAAAGATTCGTTGTGAAAAAAAAAATATATTTATACATTTTTGTAATCAATCCCGGCTGTGTTCGAAATCTTTTGGTGATTTAAGTAATAGGTAAGGAGAAAAAGGGGTGAATGGTAAGATTGTTCATTTCATTACTCCCTGAGTTAATAAAAACCAAAAAGTTCAAGCCACAACACAATCATTGCCACAAGACTAGGAAACTTATAAACCCGTTTATTGGAGGGGGCTGAAAATATTGTTCATGATTTTATTGGACGTAAAATTTTTATCTGTTTCCAGACGCTTAGGCTAGCGCAATTCGACTGTTCTCTGTGATATCGAGAGCGTATGGTCGTAGATCCAGTCCGAGAATATTTGTAAAACATTATGGTGACATAATGAGTAGTTAAGTAAGATCTTTAGTTTTATTTACATAAATCAAGTCAGAGTTTGTAACTTCGTGCGGCTTCTATCATTTAGCTAGTAAAATAAAGTGTGCGCTCCAACCACACTAAAGAGGAAGATTGTATTTCGGATTGACTTAATGTAACACAGCACCAAATTTACTTTCTAATTAAATTTGTATTGTTTTTAGTTGAATTATATATAAATATAGCAGCTCTTAATTGAATGGTTTAAATAAATGTATCTATTTTTGGCAATCTTATTTCCTCACTTTAATTAAGGGAGTGCCGGCATCAATGACCAATTTTGGGAAAACCCATAATAGTAGCATGATATGTTGGTCGCGCTGAAGACTAGACGAAATAAAGAAAACAAAATAAATAAAGTGTCCATACCAGATGGGAATAGGTTTTCGGGACTTAAAAGTGAGTTATTACCGCATTCATTTCAGGAAACTAAATGGAAAGTCTGAAGATGTGGACATTAATGCCAATCCTGTTTTTAATGCTGTTGACCAGTTCGTTTGGGATGGATTCAATATCGGAGCTCCTTCGGACGCATCCAACTTGGTCGGTAAGTCACTCGATTCTTCTTGATATATAAAACGGAAAGAGGCGTTAGCTCCCTAAGTTTACAGACCTAAATTTTTAGGAGTATATTCAGACTCTAGACTCACTTTCAAATATTATTTTAAAATTAAAGTGAAGGAATTTTAAAAAAGAGTATGAAAGACGTTTTGGGTATTGGAAAAAAGGTCAAAATTGTTAAAGAAAAATGCAATTTCACTGTTTAATCAAATGCTACATCGAGAAAAAACGCTAGGAAATGGCCCGAACTGTATGTAACAAGGTAGAAACATGGTGCTAGGGCCTTACGATTTTGTGGGGGAAACAAAAATGCTGAAACCTTTATGACAATATGCTCTACAACTTAGCGATTGTGCATGTAGATCTAATATAAATAAACTATAGAAAGTCTCCAAGTGAAGGCTCTACGAGAAATTAGTAGGGAGCCAAGTTTTGTAAGGAACGAAGACATGAGGAGAGAATTGAAGGTATACCCACAGTTAGGGACGTAATTGCTGAAGCAACAAAGAGAGACAAAAGTAGACTCGAGAGACATGAAAACAATAGATATCGAACAAACTAAACGAATGATGACCATTTACTTTTCTGAATCTCTCGAGTGCAAGAGCTGCATTTTATTTTGTGATCACAACGGTTATTTTTGTTTACCACATTCGTTCATGGAAATTCACTTGATATGGGAGAAACCACGATATGTCAATCAGTAAATAATTGTAAATGGGGTCGGGTCGCGGAGCGGTCAGGAGGCATACCCCTTAGTATTATTATAATCACCGAATCTAGGATAGCCTCAAGCATCGGTAAACAATACTTTGCCGAGTGCATAACTGGACTACATTTTGCAATTAAGAACTGCAATCTCTGGCTCATCCGGAAGAACACTTATGTGTGTAGGGAAACTAATGGTAAATTCGTTGTTTCTAAACTTAGCCAGAGATTGAAGTTCCTGATTGCAATGCTGTCCAACTAGTCTGTTATCAAATTCAACCAATTTATGTACGGTTTTCAGTTTGAGCTGAGGAGCGTCGAATCATTAGTCCAGGATGGGATGAAACAACTTCGAAATGCCCATGCAGAGTTCGATATCCCTGAGGACATGCTGCGGAGGAAAATTGAGAGTTACGTTAGGCCAGGAGAAACGCATGTCGTGTTCAAGACAGGGGATCCCAAGTGGCCTGAGCGAGTGCCGCAGTCCTTTGACGCAAGGGATCACTTCAAGGAGTGCGCTCATCTTATCGGGGACATCGAGGATGAAGGACCCTGTTACAACGATGTGGTGGGCTTACAGAAATAGGGCCTGGCCCAGACTTACAATTTCTAGATTTCCTTGAGGAAGTAATGTACTTACACAGTCAAAAAGTTCCGTGTTTCTGATTGATTTAAGTTACTTCGAGTTACTTTTTTTCCGGTTAGATCAACTGAAAGGACTTGGTTAATCAACCAAATTCTTGGTTAAATCGACAGAATCTGTAAGTTACTCTGAGACATCTGGTCATGAAGAAAGTTTCTTGCTGAGCCAATGTATACTCTTGTTTATCTCCATGCATCTCAGAGGTTGCGACTTACGAGTGGCTATATACCGCAAGGGACTATCACCAACGCTCCTGGCTGTTCACACCTGATTTTTAACGAGGTTGCAAATTATCAACGTAAATCGCGATTATTTTGGCAAAACTGCTGTAAAAACCATGTGTTTTTCTGTAAAATCGCGGTAAAAATCTCGTGCTTTGCTCAAATAACGCCAATCTATGCGTGCAGACCTATAAAAAGTTATCTTTACACAATTTTTGGAGAAAAAGTGGGTTTTAAAATTGTCAAGGCCAATTTAAAGAATTGGAAGGCCAAGAACTTTCTGCATTCCTAATTGATAGTACCTCTCATTATCTATATTTGGACCTCATTTTGCAAAAAGGAACCACTATTCCTGGCTCATTTTGGGAACAGCATAAGTGTCATTGGTTTCCGTATGCAGAAAAGTGCTTTTATGGAAGAGCCAGAGATAGTGGTTCCTTATTGCAAAATGTAATCCATTTAAACATTTAATTGCCCTCTTAGGGTATGAAATGATCACTAATAAGAGCACAGAAAAAGATTTTCGTGTACTCATGATATTGTTGGTTCATTTTTTTTCTTTTTCGTTTTTGTTTGTTTGATGGCATGCAGCATGTAACAGTTGCATCCGTTGCAACAGACAGATACTGCATTTATACTAATGGGACGTTTAAGGGTCGTTTATCATCCGAGTACCTCACCGGATGCTACTCGTTATGCACTAATTTCCAGACTATTTATCACACATGGGACCAAGTAGTCGAATTTGGTCTTCCCTCTGGTGGAAAATACAGCTCAAACGAGGTATATATTGAAATAAATTTTTGTAATTTACTCCAATTAAAGTTTTTAACGTGATATCAGGTGATTTCCGTGACAGAGAACGAACGAAATAAAAATGAGGCTGACTAGTTATAGGACATTTCGACAACGATTTTTTGTCCACGAACCTGCATTTTCTAGTAGTTTACGTTCACGCGTTTTTTCGGCAGGGGAGTTTTGATCCTTTTACCAATTGAGACCCAAAGTTAATAAGTCCACATGTGAATACATGTAAGTCCTAGTATCTGTAATCAATAACGTTTAGAATGACTTTGAACTTCATTACAGGAAAAAGTGACTTGATTCAAGCAGAAATAAGCGAGAATCTACCGCCAAGAGAATTTTATCATGAATCAATAAAGAAAATAATGCTTGTTTAAAGAAGAAAAGATGCCTATGTAAAAAGGAAAGTCACTTACATCAAACAGAAACCCGCTTTCATTCAGCTACTTTCTTCTTGATTTAAAATAAATTCTTCTTGACTGCATACTCAAGAATGTTTCTGCTTGGATTGAGTTACTTTTTTCTTTAATGACATTCAAAAATTATGCTAAACGTCATTAAATACTTACTGAGTTTTTGGACTACCGCTCGCTTTTTGCGCCGCAGTATCTTGATTTATTTTGCGAGGGAAACTTCGTACTCTGAAAGGATGCCTGTCATCCTTAATTCGTTGGAGTGCCTTCAAGTTCGTATGATACTGTGCAACACCTCTGTTGTGAAATAGTTGTTTAAGGCGCCGTGGCACGCTACGGCTCGGCGCGGCGGGAGGGCGGTCAACGCGCACCGTGCATTGGCGCCTACAAACCTAAGTGGATACTTCAAGCATCACGCAATGCGTGAGGTATCCACGTAGGTTTGTAGGCAGCTTCGCTCTGTGTTCGGCTATAATATTTAAACTCGCGGAGTCAGCATTTTTTAACGCGAGATTTTGAAATGTTTGCACACTCTGCGTGGATTATTCTCGTTTAAATCGATGGGAAAAATATGTAAAGGAAAATATAATGTGTGTTTTGTAAATATTCAGGTGGTTCCGTGTCAAATGACTTACAAAGCACTTTAATGTTTTCTTTTATATTTTGCCCTTTTACTGTGCTGTAACGTGGTGCACTCGTAACCAAACGCTTAAAATTGGGCGAATTTGACTCTAAAAGGACGATGTAAAAATACCAATGTCCATCATAATGTTAATTTGCTTCATGACTTTAGGGATGTTTACCCTATGGGCACGAACCATGCAAACACACTGTGACGCACTATACAGGCAATCAAATGACTTCAATAGAACGTTATTTGAACGGGAAAACGGGAAGTTTGAAACTTTGCGATGAATACACGGCTTTCGACCATGACTGCCCAGCGAAGTGCTCTAATTCTAAATACCCGATTCCTCTCAAAGATGACTTCAGAAGGAGTAAGTTTAAATATATCGTCAAAATAATTGGTGTAAAGTGGCCTAGCCTAGCAGTAACTGCGACTATCGACTTTTAAATACCTTTCGTTCTGACCATTGCTGGTTGCTGAAAGATGTGAGAGAGACACGTTCTATTATCATCAATGCCTTGAAGCATCAAAAATATTTTGATAGTACAATGAATTGACCAAAAGGATGAAATTACGAATGATATATTCAGGCTTTTTCAAAATTTTTCTGAAATAAGCTGCGTTATAATTAAAGCAAGTAACGCCACTACACAATCAGTACATCTTTTACATTGCTAGTTGTCTCAAAAAATTACAAATTTTGATTGAGTACGCCAGAATTTAGTACAAAAATTTAATTTGTAGTTCCGAAAGGAGTTGTTCAAGATTGAAAATTATTGCGAAGTATCTTTGCCTCAGTCGTTGTCGGACACTGTATGTTTTTTCCTCTTTTTCCCGTGCACAGTGACAACCCACTACCAACTTCCTGGCTCTGAATATCTAATCAAAAGCGAAATATACATGAATGGTCCCGTTTCAACCGACATTTTCCTGTACGATGATTTCTTCAATCATAAAGGAGGTAAGTATTGAATTAGACATTAACATTGTTGGATCAACTGAGAGAGAAGTAGTTTGGAGACTTTCGTGCTTATACATACTTATAAAGCATTTCGTCGATGAAACTGCCAAACCACGTTCCTCGTTTGCAATGTTTCAAAATCTCCGCTCTTATTTTATGTTTTTGAAGGAAAACAAATCAATATCATTTCTTGAAATTTTCACAGAGTTTTTTCACACGGAGAAAAAAAAAACAGGAAAGTTTTCAAGAATTAACTTTGAGTAGTTTTCCATCAAAAGAATAAAATATTACAGGAAGTCTACAGCGTCGCAAACTAATAAACGTGATCTGGTACTTTTACCGTAGATTTGAAGTTACAACATACACACAAACGCATATCTCATTTTCACTTTCAATCACGTTATTAAAAGAAAATTAACTAGTTATACACATGTAAATAAAGAGAGGAGAATTAATTGGAATTAATGTAATTTTTTGGTTTACTAAGGGAGTGAAAACTTCATCGTGGTAACAAGTTTAAAAATATACTGACTCCGCGAGTTTGAATAATCGTGCCAAAACGCCAAAGCGCGGTCGCGTCGTCTAACGCATATTAGCGCCTACAAGACCCTAGGAATACTTCTCGCATTGCGCCACTAACGTGTTGCGTGCTGCGTGCTGCGCGTCGTGCTCATTGAGAATTCGGAATGGACTTCTTGCATGTGTCAGGGATTGGCGCTTTAAGTGATATATTTAAGGCGAAAAATTTCGCAAGAAACCCGGTGGTGCAGCTACTTTTCTCTGAAATCGAGTCCTAAGGCCTTGTCTCCGCTGGCCGTTTCACGAGATTTGTCCCAGGGAAAAATCCTACTCACGAAGTTGGGGAAAATATTCAGTTAATCAATATTTTTCCCAGTACCAAGTATAGTCCTTTCACCCCTAGGACCCACGAAGAGAGGAAGAACAAGTGTAAACGAATTGTGGGATATTTTGTTGACTACTCCATTGTTCATGTTTGTTTAGTTAAAATTATGTGTCTAATTGCCAATTGAGTGCAATTATTATTTTAATCCGGTTAAATACTCGATTTTAACTAATTTATCTTCCCGTGAAAACTGGTCGCAGGACCGTATGAGCCTCGTCCCGTGGAGACGGTAACTGGGACAAATTGAAATCATTCCTTGAAGTTTTTGCAGAAAATTCTTCGCACAAAGAAGGCAAATCACGGCAGATTTAAAGAATTGCCGTTGAGTAGTTTTCCGTTTAAAAAATGAAGTATGACAGGAAGTCTGCGACGTCGCAAACCGAGTTATGTAATTGCCGACTTACACCGTCGATTTGCCCACTGTCGCATAGTTAGATGCTTGTGTTCGATTCAAATTTATCTCTCACCTTTTTTTCCGTGGAATAATATCAGTGATACGATATATTTTACCCTTGATCGACGGTGTTAGTCCGCAACCACGTATTTCGATTTGCGACGTGGCAGACTTCCTGTCATACTTTATTCATTGAATGGAAAACTACTCAATGGCAATTTCTAAAAACTGCCGTGATTTTTCTTCCCTGAGCAAAGAAAATTCTGCAAAAACTTCACGGAATGATGTCGCTATGTTCTCCTTTAAAAAATAAAATAAGAGCGGAGATTTTTAAACACCGCTAACGATATACGTGGTTGCGGACCTACGCCGTCGACTTGTGTCCCATAAGTTCAATCTTATTACGTCCTTCATAACTCACAGTCAGATCGCTTTCCGAAAGGTCCAAGCGGTAGTGAGCCGAAGACGGAAAAATTTCAACTCTAATTTCCTCACTTCAATTGTTCCAGGATTTTACAACACAACATCCGACGCGAAGCTCGTGAAAAAAGATAAACTAGTGAAGCTGATTGGTTGGGGCGAGGAGACGGACGGGAAACGCTATTGGCTGGCGGTCAATTCTTGGGCCGGCTGGGGCAACGATAATAAAGTCTTCAAATTTCCGCGGGGAGTCAATTTCCTATGGTCGGAGTGGTTCGTTACCTGCGGGGTTTACGATCCGCTTTAAACTTCTGTTACGGTAATTCATGATGGTTTAGTATACGGACAGTATAAGCTCCGATTCAGCATCAAAGCTCATCTGGACGTATTTCTGCCAAACGGAACTATGTGCATTGTGACATGAGCCCTGTTATGTCTATATTCTCATGGGTCTCAGGGCTCAAGTCTTAATTCACATAGTTCCGTTGACAGAAATACGTTCGTCTAATGCCAATGTTTTCCTTCTTAGAGAGCGTTCATGGCTTGCGCAACGTCTTTTTCTGCCGGAAACTGTTGAGTAGCTGGATAAAATGGACGTATTTCTATCAAACAGAACTATGTGCCGAGGGAAAGATAGGGTGTGCTCGTTGGTGCTCGGGCCATAAGAATGAATGGGAAATATAAAGCGCCAGTGACGTCAGTGGCAACGACGATCGGGAAGGCGGTCTCTAACTCATGAGCCCTGTTCGCAAGGCTCTAGATACATGCCCACGGCTCGCACTCTGTGCACATAGTTCCGATTGACAGAGCGTGAAATACCGCTTCTCCAATTCAGCAAACGGAACTGTGAGCCAACTAAGTGCGGCACCTATGAGCCGTGGGCATGTGACAAGAGCCTTGTGGACAGGGCTCATGAGAAAAAGACCGCCTTCTCGATCGTCGTTTCTCTCGTCGTTGCCGCTGATGTCACCGGTGCTTTACATTTCTCATTCATTCTTATGCCCCGAACACGAACGAGCATACCCCATCTTTCCATTTGCACATAGTTCTGTTTAATAGAAACAGTCCAAATTAAAGTACAGATATAGGGAGAGTACGGAAATGTCGATAATTGTGAAGTTAGGTCATGTAGCTTTTAGGGCCTTATAAGGCAGCCAAACGATGAATTCGAATCATGCAGAGTGATTTACCTACCATCACGATTGTTACAAACCGTCGTTTGTAAAGCTCGTATTTGACATAAATTGACTCATTTTTGCGGAAAA